CCCAAAACCCCAAAACCCCAAAACCCCAAAACCCCAATATTTAGGCCAAATTATTTATTTATTCTTAGATGGCTTACTGAGAAAGTCTCTCTTGATCTTGTACTTTCCAGGTGATGGGATGTCCTTACTACACAGTCTAGCAAATGATATATCCTTTTTCTGCTTGCCAAAGCTATAGGTAGCAGAATTATCCCTGCTGTGGGATGACTCATATCGACCTGGGCCAGGGGAGCATATCTTCTCTTGATTTTCATCAAATTTGGACTTCTTTATCGACCTGCCAAAGGAGGATCCTCCTCAGCCATAAGAGTACTCCCCAATACTTTCTCTCGGATTTGAGGTAGATTCATGACCAATTGAGGAATACTTCTGAGTATTATACTTGATTTTCCTGTCTGACTTGGAGTGTTCATAACTTGCTTGGCTCTTCTGTAAAAATGCCATAGTTGGGACACTGAAACCTTGTGAAAGGAATCTATACATCTGATTCCCCTTTCTCCTAAAGGTGGTTCCTTTCTTAAGTTCATATCCCTTTTTAGAGGAATTCCTTTGATGTTTCTGGCGAGGATTTGCCATTTCAGCCATAGATGTTTTCCTAGTGTTCTTGTTTTTCTTTGCACATGCACCTCTGGTATATTTCTTTGTTGAGAAATTAATTCTAAAATTATGTAAAATCGCTACTTTTGTTTATCAAAATGTTTGAGGTTTTGGGTTTTCTTTGGTGTGATTGTGTTCATGGACATAAAGTTATTGTTAAGCGGCGTTCCACTTGTCCTTATTTTGTCTTCTGTAGTGTAGAGGGAGTTTAACCGGCTGTTACAGCCTAATAAATTTTCGTTCTCCTTCAGGTCCAAGTCTAACTGATTATTTGGGTTATTTTTCCAATGATCTAATGCTGTATTAGAGAATTTTAAAGTACCATCTATGTCTATTGTAGATTTAGAAACTTCCTGTAGATGATGAGCCTGGCCTAAAGAAGTGCTGATAGACGTTCCTTTATGGGAAGTCTGCTGGTGTTTATATTTTCCAGTTCAAGTTTTGTCTAGGGTGATATAAAATATTTACCTCTGCTTAATTTTACCCTGTCTTCCATGGATTTAAAAATAATTCCAGAGACGATGGACATAAAGCTATGAGAAGTAGCAATTATTACTCTACCTTTGTGTAAACTGCTTAAAAACAATTTTTCTAGTTTGACCCTTTGCTAAATTGACAGTTAGCCTTTTAGAGAATGAAAATTTCGCACAATTTTAGGGAACTCTAACTACAAAGCTCTCATACCTCTTTGGAACTGGACATAGTTGGGGAACGAAGTGTATCCTTGGTCCATAATCGCTCGAAGAGAGCAAACCAATGGACCGAGAAATCAGTTCTCGCTCAAAAAACTTAAGGTGTCCGAGAAATATTCGTTGCTTTGGTCTGAATATTTTTCAAATGATTTCAATAAACTCTGAATAAATGCTTTCTGGTCTATTGAAATGGTATCCTCAGGATAGCCTATATTAATCGTGTAACACCAATTCCTCAAATTATACAAACTTTCAGGATGTTTTACCTCGCGTACCGTGCTCCTGAATGTGCTGATCCATATTTAAAATAGTTAATTTCAAAGCTAAGCACCATAAAAGGGGTTTTGGGGTTTTGGGGTTTTGGGGTTTTGGGG